TCAACCTACAGGAGGAGTGAAAAAATTATGCAGCAGGCTAGTCCATTTTGCTGAAATTTCATTGCAGAAACTCAAAATGATAATCAGTAGTTTGTATGCATGCCTGACAACACCAGGGCATGCTCCTAATGATGGTGTTCTGGGATATTTTCTCCTGGATCTGGACCAGAGCATCACTGAGTTCCTGGACAGTCTGAGGTGCAACCTGGTGATGTCGGATGGACTGAAACATGGTATTCCAGAGGTGTTCTACTGGATTTAAGTCAGGAGAGTGTGGGGGCCATCCAATGGTATCAATTCCTTCATCCTCCTGGAACTGTCTGTATACTCTTGCCACATGAGGCCAGCATTGTCGTGCACCAGGAGGAACCCAGCACCCGCTGCACCAGTGTAGGGTCTGACAATGGGTCCAATGAATTCATACTGATACCTAATGGCAGACAGGGTGCCATTGTCTAGCTTGTAGAGGTCTGTGTGTCTCTCCATGGATAAGCTCCCCCAGACCATCACTGACCCACCATCAAAACGGTCATGTTGAATGATGTTACAAGCAGCATAACATTCTCCATGGCTTCTCCAGACCCTTTCATATCTGTCACACAAGCTCAAGGTAGACCTGCTCTCATCTTTGAAAAGCACTGGGTGCCAGTGACAGACCTGCCAATTCTGGTGTTTAATGGCAAATGCCAATCAAGCTCTATGGTGCCGGTCAGAGACATTCACATCAGTGGCCTGCTGGAGGTCATTTTGTAGAGCTTTGGCAGTGCTCATCCTTTTCCTCCTTGCATAAAAGAGCAGATACCGGTCCTGCTGATGGGTTAAGAACCTTCTACAGCCCTGTTCAGCTCTCCTAGAGCAAGTGCCTGTCTCCAGGAATCTCCTCCATGCTCTTGAGACTGTGCTGGGAGACACAGAAAAACTTATGGTGATGGCACGTATTGATGTGCCATCCTGGAGGAGTCAGACTGCCTGTGCAACCTCTGTAGGGTCCAAGAATCGCCTCATGCTGCAAGTAGTGACACTGACCCTAGCCAAATGCAAAACTAGTGAAAGACATTTAGAAAAGATGAGTAGGCAACAAAATGTCAGTATCCTCCACCTGTAAAACCATTCCTGTTTTGGGGGTCATCTCATTGTTGCCCACCTAGTGAACCTGTTGTTAATTTAATTAACAGCAAAGCAGCTGAAACTGATTAACAACCCCCTCTGCTACTTAACTGACCAGATCCATATCCCAGGAGTTTAATTGACTTGTTGCTAAACTCTGATTAAAAAGCGTTCCTTTAATTCTTTTTTGAGCAGTATATATAGTCTCTGAAATTCTCTTGTATAATGCCCATAGTCTTTGACTATATCCTGTTGTGTGTCTGCTGTCTCTGACAGTGAATTATTGTGCATTTGATAATGTCAAGGGCCACACTTAAGGCTCCTATATCAGGAAAGTTGATCATCACTGGGTTAAACCTTCCTTTAACTTTTTACTGTTGCCTGGGCCGCTATTTAGCTGTTTGGGAAAGTTCTTTTTTACTTCCTGTCTATTTGACAGGTATTTTGCAGAACAAGAAGCAATAGAGAATCTCCCCATTTCCATTCTATTCGGTGACTCTCAGACAGAACAACACAGAAACGGACAACAAAAAAAATGAATTTTCTATTACAGCAAGGGAAGAATTCCTCTCAATTCCTATCTAGGTGATGTGTGTGTCAGACAGAACAGGAGAGAAAGAGAAATCTCCTTTATGGGAACACAGACTGCATTCACAATTGAATACAAAAGTCTCCTTAGTGGAGACAGAAACAATGCTAAATTAGAATTCTGGGGTAATACTAACTAAGCTTAAAACTGCTCAGATGTCCCCTTTTTACACTCTTACTAACTACCCAGTAAAGGAAAGATGCATATACTTACCTATTCTCAGGCCACTCCAGTTTGGGCATGTGATTTCCCCACCCCCTACTACAGGGAAGAGAAGAGAGCCACCCGACAACGGCTCGAATGTTTGTGTGGTGACTTCACCCGTAGGCTTACAATGGAGCCTCCACTGAAGCCTCTGCTAGCTGAGAGAGAAGAGCGATCGTGGCCAGACCAGAGCGCCTGAGAATAGGTATATACTATATAACCATCTTCCTTTTACAAGGTAGTTCCTATAAGTTTTAGGAGAGGGGTGAGAACAGTTTTAGGCTTAGTTAGTATTATCCCGCAACTCCACTTTAAAAACTTGACAAGTTCTAAACCTTCCCTGATCTATCCAAAAATTTAAGACGTTTTGACTGCAGTTGGGTTTTAAAAAGATGAAATGACGATGAGCAAAATTCTGTAAGCCATAAAATAAAGCATATTTAAGCTTACTGAACTCTGTTCATTAAAAGAGGAATTTTGATTGGTTGTTATGAGTTACAGTTTATGTCCCAGGCACATGTGAGTGATAATACCCCTGGCATGCACAACATGGTAATCAAATGTTTTAACAGGTTTTACTGTGTTTATATACACTCACTGGCCACTTTATTAGGTACACCTGTTCAATTGCTTGGTAGCACACATTTCTAATCAGCCAATCACATAGCATCAGCTCAATGCTGGGATCCAGGGAATATCTGATTGCCGCTCGGGGGATCAGGAAGGTATTTTTTCCCCTGCAGGAGCAAATGTATCACGCTTTGCTGGTTTTTTTTTTTGCCTTATTGTGAGTATAGGATTATAACTTTTTTTTTGGGTTGAACTAGATTGACGTTTGTCTTTTTTCAGCCAGACTAACTATGTAACTATGTCAATGCATTTAGGCATCTAGACATGGTGAAGACGACTTGCTGAAGTTCAAACCAAGCACCGGAATGGGGATGAAAGGGGATTTAAGTGACTTTGAACATGGCATGGTTGATGGTGGCAGATAGGCTAGGTTGAGTATTGAAAAAACTGCTGATCTACTGGTATTTTCACACACAGCCATCCCTAGGCCCAAAAAAGAGAAAATATCCAGTGAGCGGCAGTTGTGTGGACGAAAATGCCTTGTTGATGTCAGAAGTCAGAGGAGAATGGGCAGACTGGTTCAAGATGATAGAAAGGCAACAGTAACTCATGTCAATATGGACCAAAATCTCTGAGGAATGTTTCCAACACCTTGTTGAATCTATGCCCGGAAAAATTAAGGCAGTTCTGAAGGGAAAAAGGGGTCCAACCTGGTACTAACAAGGTGTACCTGATAAAGTGAGGTTTTCTATTTTCAATGTTTGATTCTAAAGGAAAACTAAAGCTAAACAAACATGGGGCTGCCTTTCCTGACATCATTTGAAAATGCTGATGGCATCATGCTGACAAAACGTGTTGGGCGGAGCCTCTTGCACCACTTTCGGTTCCTCACTTCCGATCTGTGAAATGCAGGCGTTCCCTGGATGAGAAAAAGCGCTGCTGCTTGTATTTAGATACAGTTCATTTTTTATTGTAAGTGTGTTTTTGTTTGTCTGTGAAAGTTTTAGTAAATAGTATAATACTATTGCAGCTTGCTGTCTGGTTCACTCACTACATATTGGTTGAGTGGAGGAGAAAGGAGAAGAACTGATACCAGCCGAGTATACATCCAGGGAGGATACAGATGGTGGTGAATAGAGAGTGCGCATGTGACCTGTTTTTAAACAAGGGGTCCTGGAATTCCGGTGAGTGCAGTTTTAGGAGGGGAGCACGGGTGTCACACATACCAAGCAGTGTGGATATGGCACTTTATCTCAATGAGCACTTTAAATGGACTGCACAAATAAGCACTTTTTAAAGGACTTTTAATAATTGTACACATTGTATTTACATTGATTTTGATAATTGCAATGTATTTATTTGCTACAAAGGAGGTATTGCATTCAATTGCTTAGATGTACATATTAAAGGGGGAGGTGTCCTGTAGTGCATATATATTTTTATATTATGTGTGGGGAAGGTATTTAAACACATGATATGCTGCATTCACATTACATACTGTAGGTAATATTGGTAGTTTATCTCCCAGGGGAGGAGTTTTAACACATCAGTAGAGTTTATGTGCAATAATCATATGAGAGTCACAAAAAGCACTAATAACTGAATTATAACTTAATTCAAATAAGAGGGAGGTGTTTTGTAGCATCACACCAATATATGTTGAAGCTATAGATCCAGTGGCTTTCATATTTTGTAGTACAAGCTCATTTAACTTTCCATGGAAAAGGAAAAAACTGGAGTTCCCACACATGGAGACTCTCCATGTGTACAGTAAATCTTTCTGCTACTTTAGGTTCACATTCAGTTTAACGCAACACCCATGTCCTTTAATGTTTCACTAGCACGATGCATACTAGAAAGCTGTCACATTATCAGTGGGTGGTAATAAAGCAGCTCTAACATTTACAATAAAGTGCTTAGAATTATATTTTTAAATAATAAGTTCATATTCCACATTAGCCCCACTTCTGATATTTCCTGTTAGTGTAGCTAGAGTTCAGCTTTAGATAGCATGCTTAACCACTAGCCTACAGGGCACTTATACCCCCTTCCTGTCCAGGCCAATTTTCAGCTTTCAGCGCTGTCACACTTTGAATGACAATTGCGCGGTCATGCAACACTGTACCCATATGAAATTTTTATCTTTTTTTTAAGACAGATAGAGCTTTCTTTTGGTGGTATTTAATCACCTCTGGGTTTTTTATGTTTTGCTAAAAAAAACAAAAATAACTGAAAATTTTGAAAAAAAAAATTTTTTTCTTAGTTTTTGTTTTACAATTTTGTAAATAAGTGATTTTTCTCCTTCTCTGATGCGCGCTAATGAGACTGCAATGATGGGCACTGATAGGCTGCACTGATGGGCACTGATAGGTGGCACTGATGGGCACTGATGAGGAGTCACTGGTAGGTGGCACTGATGGGCATTGACAGGCATCACTGATGGGCACTGAAAGACAGCACTCATATATGGCACTGATAGGCGGCACTGACTGGCACTGATAGGCGGCACTGACTGGCACTGTTAGGCGGCACTGATAGGTAGCACTGACGGGCACTGATGCGTACTGATATGCAACACTGACTGGTATTGATAGGTGGCACTGACTGGCACTGAAAGGCAGCTCAGATGGGCACTGATATGTGGCATTGGTGTGCACTGGTAGACACTGATATGTGGCATTGATATGCACTGGTAGGCACTGATGTGGCACTGATGAGCACTGACAGGTGGCACTGCTGGGGCTACACTGATCATCAGGGCACACTGCTCATCAGTGCCCTGATGATCAGTGTACATGTCCCCTCTGAGGGATGCTCCTCTTGAGCTATCAGCATGAGATCTAGTACGGAGAGAAATGCCGATAACCTGCATTTCCCTATTTACATGAGATCAGCTGTGATTGGACACAGCTGATCACATGACCGAGCCGACATCTTCGGTTATTTCCACTGAGCGGTGATCCGCTGTGTCCGAGGGACACAGCGCCCCACTGATCGCCTCGCTACACACTCCCAGAGCCGCGCACATGCGGTTAGAGTGGGAGGACGTCATATGACGTCCTCCCAGAATGAGAGAACCACCTTGCGCCCATCATTGCCTTATATGGCAGGCGGGAGGCGGTTAAAGGGGAGTTCCAGCTGAAAAATAAAATAAAAGTCAGCAGCTACAAAAACTGTAGCTGCTGACTTTTAAAATACAGTCACTGACCTGTCCCTCAGTCCAGTGGTGTCCTTATCACAGCTGGTTTCACCGGCCGTCTTTTCTCCCTGGCACCGGCATCTTCAGTGTGGGCACCCGGCTGTGATAGCTTGCAGCTGCGCTGTGCTTTGTGAATGGCCCCGTAGTCTTCTGGGACCTATCACGTGTCCCAGAAGACTATGGGGAGGGGGGGGACAACTTCTGCTTCTGATCGCCTTAGGCAATTGCAGTGTAAGTGGGAGTGGATACTTGTCAAATTCAGGTACCCGCTCCCCCGCTACTCAAAGGTGCCAATCCTTAATGGGGAGCGGAGGACAAAGACTTAAAGTGTTACTTCCCCTTTTGGGTGGAGCTCCGCTTTAAGAATGGCACTTTAAGAAAGGATATGTGTCAATTTTCTCCAAACCTTATGTCTGCATTGATATGGTGATCACGTGACTTTATTTATAAACACAGACATTGAATCACCATGTTGTCACTTGTGATGGACTGCCTGACACCCCAACTCTGAATCTTCACCAAACTATAGCTTCCTCCACTCTGAAGCTAGAATATAGCAAATTTACCCTAAGCATTAGACAGAACCAATGTTGGAGTAAAACAGGACTGACTTTATTAACAAACAGCACTGCGCTTATACACAAAAACTTCCCCCCTAGACAGGTATGGCACACATTACAAGTCCAAGGATAAAATTACATTACATAAACAATGAAACAATAAAACACAAGAAAGCAATAGATTCCTTCCTGGCACCCAACAGTTAGAGCTTATCACCTAAACCTAGTTATAGCAAACAATAGTTGATGCCAGGAAACCTGTAAGAGAAAATAAAGTTTCTTAACCCTGCATATGCTAGAATACACCCCCTACACATAACACATTGCTCCAGAATAATAGTTTCACAAATCACAGTATGTCAAGGGGTCCCAGAAACAGTCCAGAAATGGTAGCTGGTATAATTCACAGCCAGCCAGGTACCCAGGGAAGTGATATAACCCTCTTGGGGAAAAGGTTCCTTGTAACCCCAAAGGGGGTCTCCTTAGTCCCGGGTCTATAGTCAGTGGGAAGGAGGCTGCCCCCCAGGTCCCTCCTAGGGTCCAAGTCACAGTGACACATCTGTTACTTTGCATGCAAAACTGTATGCATTCATGTACCCAGAGAACTCATCTTGAAAGCAAAGGTAGCTCATTTCTCCCATATATCTCTACTGAAAAATGTCTAAAAAGAAATGTGTTTAAAACTGACTTCCTGGCTCAACAAATATTGACTAAATACATGTGTATTGTTGCTTCATCCAGTATGAAATAACTCCTGCACTTTGCCTGTGTAGGAGTTTTGTGTAATATAGGCCATTCACACTTTCTGCTCTCTCGTGTTGTGCAGAATGACTACATGTTGTATCTACGTCCCTCCAGCTTTCAGCAGTTTTGTAGTGGTTCGCTATGTAGCCCAGTAATTATGTCACTGCTACATTTACCAGTTAATATCTGGGTTTTAAAAGGCATTTGGGACACACAAAGCAGATGTATATTATCTGTGCCTATTGATAACTCTATTTAAATGAGAGTTTCTCTGCTTAGAGTTCAGCTTTAAATTGGATGTACCTTTTAAACTAATTCTAAACCAGCAAGAGAACCACATCATGCTGAGAGGACATCTATCTGCTCACATTAAAGGTCTTGACTAATATATCTCTTTTTTTGAGTTTCTCACTATATTTTGTGTTTGCTTACTGCTATTTATTCAAATAACTGATACACAAAAAAAGTGACACGGAGCTCGGTATGATCTTGTCTCCAGGGCAAGCTTCTTTCATCTACCTTTTGTTTCCATCATAAACGTTATTGCTTTCTTTTGATCGGGAAGATGTTGTTAAATAAATCAGAAAGCATGACATTTTTCAATAAGAAAAGCTTTTCTTACTGATGGCACTTAAATATGTAAAAGTTTTACCTTGGGGTACTCATGGAAGAGCAGTTTTTTTTCCAAAGACATTTATTTAAAAAAGTATGACAAGTTGTCACTTAAAGCAGGCAATGAACATAGCAAAACTGGATATCATTTACTTTTTTTTATTAAATATAAAAAAATAGAAGTGTTTCTATTTCCACTATGAGGTCTAGATATTATTTTCAGTGTAGTAGAGCATTCTGGAGCAGCCATTATTTTTAGAAGCTCCAGACTGTAGAAGATGAATTGTTCCTGTTCTCTCTTTTCTCCATCTCTCTCTCTCTATCTCTTTCTCATTCTTTCTCTCTGTCTTACCAGCATCTGAAATATTGTAAGACTATCATAGAATAAATAATTTGCGCTAGTAAATGTGTATAAATATATAAATATATATAAAGAAATCATCAAATCATAAGTCCAGAAAAAAAAATATATATATATGCCAATACCACAAAAAAATATAAAAAACTTTTAGGTGCAAAAAACTTTTGTGCAAAAAAAGTGTCTGAATATGAAAAATTTCACCAAAAAACCTTGATAATATAATGGCAGATCATCCATAAATATATCTTCAGAAACGGAAACTCTGCAGCACACCGATCCTCATCGATCGAAATAACAGGATGAAAAACTTTGTAGTTAATCGAAAATCCACTTCTCCAATAGTTAAAGGACCACCTTCAAACGTATCCATAGGGGGAAATGCCAAGCACTCGAGAGAAACAGAAAGACTTCATGGTGCAATATTATAAAAACCAATTCCTTTATTAGGTACTCATTGCACTTACTCAAGAGGTGTCCCAGCCGACACCAGCATCAACAGCATAACAGCAATCACATAAAAGAGCCTGGCTACTCAGCACATGCGCAGTAGCTGGCAGCCAAAAACGTAATGACGTCACATCAATCAAGCCCCGCCCTACGCGTTTCGTCATCGACGTCCTCACGGAGCGGAGGACGTCGTGAGGATGTCGATGACGAAACGCGTAGGGCGGGGCTTGATTGATGTGACGTCATTACGTTTTTGGCTGCCAGCTACTGCGCATGTGCTGAGTAGCCAGGCTCTTTTATGTGATTGCTGTTATGCTGTTGATGCTGGTGTCGGCTGGGACACCTCTTGAGTAAGTGCAATGAGTACCTAATAAAGGAATTGGTTTTTATAATATTGCACCATGAAGTCTTTCTGTTTCTCTCGAGTGCTTGGCATTTCCCCCTATGGATACGTTTGAAGGTGGTCCTTTAACTATTGGAGAAGTGGATTTTCGATTAACTACAAAGTTTTTCATCCTGTTATTTCGATCGATGAGGATCGGTGTGCTGCAGAGTTTCCGTTTCTGAAGATATATTTATGGATGATCTGCCATTATATTATCAAGGTTTTTTGGTGAAATTTTTCATATTCAGACACTTTTTTGCACAAAAGTTTTTTGCACCTAAAAGTTTTTTATATTTTTTTGTGGTATTGGCATATATATATTTTTTTTTCTGGACTTATGATTTGATGATTTCTTTATATATATTTATATATTTATACACATTTACTAACGCAAATTATTTATTTATTGGTACACTTTATATATGGTGATTTTTTGCAGCTGGTACATTATTAGTAAGTTATATAATTTTGACCATAGGCGCTATTATTAATTTTTTCCTAAGACTATCATAGACACTATTACAGTGTGACAGGAGAAGGGAGATTGCTGCTATCATGTGAATGGCATTTGGGGGTCCCCATCCTACCATGACTCTATGGTGGCAGAGGATTATGAAATCTCTAGCTACATATAGGTTATTATGGAGTTATTATATTAATTCATTTTTGCATTGGGTGGCACAGAAGTGGGACTGTCCTGGACTCCCATAGGTGCATTATTGGATGGCATCATCATAATGAACTGCATGTGTAGGTCATTTGACCAAGAACTAAACTGCTGTTGAATATGATTATGTTTTATGCAAATTGTAACACTTCTCACCACTCCTCCCTGCCCTCCCTCATGCTCCTTCATTTTTAAAAGTGGACCAAAGGCTGATTTTTTTGGTGTGTTTTAATACACGATACATTGTGGACAGTGTACATTAAGTTAACTGAATTACCAGTAAGAACACATCAACTATATTAATGGCCAATCATTTTTTACTTTGGAGTGGTCTGGTAGCTTTAAGTCAACTGCATGTTTTACATGTGACTTTAAAATGTATGCAGATAAATAGTAAAGTTATTCAGACCATGAAACACTCTTCGAATTAAATTCAAATTAATTTGAAAAAAGTAAAAGCATGGGAATGAAATAAAATGTTTTATGATAATGTATTGTAGGCTTTTATGCAGTGATAAAAAAAATGTAGGTTTTAAATATATATATATATATATATATATATATATATATATATATATATATATATGTGTGTCTCTTTTAGCTTACTTTGATTGATTGTTCAATAAATCTGTTTTATGTTCATCCAAAAACTGCAAAGATTGAATTTAAGTATGCAGGGTTGGCGCCAAGATTTTTGGGGACTGCTTCCTCTCATTATGATGGGCCATTTCTCTTCTATCAACTCTCATAAACGGAGATAGTATACGTATAAAATAACGTTGAAAGAAACATATTGCTGCACAAAACTGTTAAGACAAGCCATGAACATAACTGTGACTAGTAGCTGAGAGAGGATCATAATAGTAAAAACCAGGCAAGTGCCACCATATGACGTTTTGGATTTAAAGACGAACACCATCATACTATTCCTACAACATGTTAGAATGAAAAATAAAGGCATTTATATTGAATATACAGTC